TTGCCTTCTTGGCCTCGAGCTCAGCATCGATCTCCTGAAAAATTTGATCAAAGCTCTTCTCGGCGATCGACACCTCGGAGTTTGAAGGCAAGGATTGAAAGCAAGAATCTGAAAAAATACACAGAAAACAGAAACAAGAATGTAATTCGTAATCAAGAATGATGATGAAGCTATAAGGAAATCAAGACAAAAAGATTGCACAGGTGTGTCAAACCAAGAACAGTGGCAGAAATCAACAGATGTGTAAACAGTGTGTATTCAAGAAGATGATTTAGAAATAACGGGTAAAATAGCAATGGTGATTAACAATGAAGCAGAGCTTCTTGGAAAACAGTAAGAAATAAAACCAGGAGGAACAATGGCTTACCAGAAAGAGGGAAGTCGGAATGAGAATTGCCGAAGTCTGACGACGGATGCGAAAATGACAGAATGACATAAACTTCACCGGAGGAGAGGAACGAAAACATTTACAGAGCTTGAAAGCTTGGAACAATGACAGATTTAAGCAAAAGAGCTAGAAAGAGAAAAAACCAGAGGATTGAATGAAAAAAAAAAGAGAAAAATCAGAGTCAAGAAGACGACAAAGTTCAAGAATAAAGCCAAATACACAGGCACTAAGTAAATATGTGAAGAACAAGAAAGTAATGACCCAGACACAATGCTAGCAACAGAAAGCAGATATGGCAAGAACAGTGCCAGGCATTCAAACAGTTCAAAACTTGAAAACATATGAAAATAGAAAACAACAGAGGACAAGTAAACGGATTCAGAAGAGTTATGAAAGATTGAGCTTAATAAAAGAGTTTATGAACCTACCAGGAGAAATAAACACCGATATGAAGATCGCTGGAGTCAAATAGATGACTGGAAGTCGGGAACCCACCGAAGAATGTGAGTGGAGCAGTTGCAAAGCTCTTGGATTTTACGAATTAATGAAACAAGAACCTCGGCTAGGAGGTGTGATCTCGAGCAGCTTGGAAAGCATGAAGCTTGATACTTAACAGAAGTGGATAGTAAAAGTCCAGGGAACTTTGAGGTCGGCGAGTTTGATCTCAGACAGAGGGGCACAGATGAACGAACAGTGTAGGTTCCATCACCTCAGAATGCCAAGGTAATAGAACCTAGGGGGCAGTTATGGGGATATATTTTCTGAGTACCAACACGTGGCCAAGGTGACGCCGACGTGTCTGCCGAGGTGCCATGTGTCCTGGTTGTTATGCCGAGGTCATCTCAGATAGGCCGAGGTGACCTCCGAAGATATCGGAATCTGAGATAAGCGGATGAGGGGCAAGAGTCCTAAAATCAGAGAAGACTTCAGTTTGTATTAAGATAAGACTCTTAGAGAGTTTATCCTAATCTTACTGGGAGTCCAAGATTAGCAGTAATCCTGAGTCCATAGAACTTAGGCTTCTATTGGGACTAGGTTTATGTTGGCTATAAAAGAGAGGCACCCCCATGGGTCTAAGGTACGCTTTTGATACTCAAGCTTGTTAGTTTAGCACTTGATTTATCTTTGAGAGATATACTGACTTGATCGTCGGAGTGCCCTCGAGTGGACGAACCACCGCCGGAATTTTCTCTTTCTGTTGCAGGCTAGGCAGGTGCCATCTATTCTGCTGGTGCTCTCCAGCTGGTTACTAAGCGGGCAGTGTGGTCAGAAAATCACTCACACACTTATTCATTCTGAAAGAAAAGGTCAAAATGCAACAAATGAATAAAAAACGACTGCATCTACATCCTGATAAGTTAGAATCGGTCAACTGATACTTCAGACAACAAAAGACACGCATAAAGGTTATTAAAAAACACCAACCCACAATTTTAGTAAGCAATGTGTTCCCTAATATCTCAAAAAGACATTAGGCTTTAATCATTGTATTTTGTTGTCCTCTTCTTCATCTAAAACTCGATTCTCTTGGATTCATCAGCAGAACATGACATCCCCATGGAAGTTTCAGACCCTACCTTCTTATTTATTGTCTTTTCCTTGAGATGTATCCTATCCTGTGTAACTGATATGCCTCTCTTCAAACTCCTAAATATCTTGCTGTTGCCTAGTGGATGAGACATACCTTTTTTGGGGTGTAATGTAGGGGTTTTGCTATTTGCACTCACTAAACTTCCAAGTTCACCCACATTCTAAGAAGCAATTATTGGCTACTCCCGGAACACCATGTAGTATTGTTTACATGGTGGTTGAATAACTCACCTTCATTAGGTAGTTAGGAGATAAGGATGACCCACTTCGTGTGGGTTTGCGTTTTTTTATTTGTCGGAAGCACTACATAGACAATGCTACATGGTACTAGGGGACTATTTAATAATTTTCATAGTACACCCTTTCCTAAATTTTAGTTTTTAAAATTGTCTTAGTAAACCCACTATAATACCGAAATTATTCCAATCTCTAATCTTTCTAATACTAACTTGAAACCCACTCAGCCACTACCTCATCAACCTCTGACCATTGCAGCCACCCCCACCGGACGCCCTTATCCCTTGTCCTCTATCCCCAACATCTCCTTTCCCAAATCTCAAAGTTGCCATGACCTTTACCACAACCAGCTCTTTTTCTTATCCTCTCTTTTGCGACCACAATCGCCACAAATAGGGTTTTATGAAGGGGTGGTGGTCATTTGGGTTAAGATGGCATGAGGAAGGGAGGGGTTGCAATGTCTGGATGGGAAGAGAGAGGCTAGGGATGACAAGATGGGGAGAAGAGGGGCTAGGGTAGTTGGATGGAGAGCAGATGGGGGTGGGAGCTGTGGGGAGGGGAGGTGGCCGCTGGGGAAGGAAGAGGGGTTGTGGGTGGTGGTGGAGGAGGAGGAGGTAGGTGCACTTTGTATTTTTTTCTTTGTTTTGGAAATTTTGTAGTTTTTTTATTGGATGGTAATTGTGCTCAAGGGTAAAATGGCAATAAAAAAATTTATTATTATTTTTTTGTAATTGAACTTAAAGTTAATGTTTGTGCAAATAGTAGTTCCCGATGTTTTACTGTTACACAATGCGCCTTCTCTTTCTATTCTCCTCTTACGAATGACTGAGGAAAAAAAAATTACAATTGTATGTTCGTTATTTACCCTTATAGAGATGCTAGCTAGGCTGCAGACTTCACCTTTTATTGCCTATCCTAAAAATAAGAAAATAAATATTATATACTTATAGTTTTATATGTTAATGTAGTGAACCAGTAATTAACAATATATAGCACATTTTTCTTGTAGTTTCTCTTGGAGTTGATAATTTGGACTCCACTAAAACAATGTAATCAAGAGCCAAAAGACTAGTCAAATTTAAGCCCTAGTCATTAAAGACTACATAAACACACCTTGTCGTTTCGTCACCTCACCTAGATCAACTGTCCATAGCCAAGTCAAATTTTAGCCTAGTCACCCGGCAGGCATGGCACCTACAACGTGCCAAAGTAGTCATGTGCACCTAATGTCATTTTTTTTATCTGCAAAAATTAATGCATTAAAATAGACTTATGACAAACGTAATTACATCCTTCGAGGAGCAAAAACAAAACCCCAAAAGATAATGAGCGCTGCAACCAACCAGATGCACAACCAAGGCAAAACAACAAGAAGCAAACATAGAGAAGAAATAGTTGGCAAGGAAACACAACTCAAGTTTTTAGTCACTTGGAGTGATCTTTCTTTTCAGCAACTCATCTCTTGTGGTAATCTTTTCCATAAATGATATATAACCAACAAAACAGTATAGTTTTTGGAGACAAATTACTCTCCTAAAACTCTTTTCCATTCCTATTTTCCTTTCAACTTGCTTGCAAAAAGACTTGACAGAAAAATTCCTACTAGTTTCTTATTTCTATATGGAAGTTTCAGACCACCCTCCCTTTCCCAATTATTGGCTTTACTTTAAGATGTATCCTTCTTGTTACACGTCTTGGGTTTGGTGTGAGACACTCTCCTATTGAATGTGATATTTGGGTTTGAATTCTCCTACACCATGTAATATGAGCCTCGTTTGGGAAGTGATTATTTTAAAAGTTTTTTGGCTATTTTAGTAGGTTATTTTAGTTTTTATGTTTGGAAAGATGAGATAGATTTTTATTTGAGTTCTTGTATTGAAAAGTGTGTTGAAATGATGTTTGAATTTAAAATGACTAATTTGTCCCTAATATTATAAGTTTTTAAATTGATGTAAAGGGACAAAATTGTAATTTCCCAAGTGATGTAATAATTTGACACTTTGACAGTGTAGGCTATGCATACACTGCCGGCAGCTGTAGCGTATTTTTTTTTTCTTTTAAAAAAAACTTTGAACATTGAAATTTTTTGGCTTATTTGTAATTTGAGGCTATAATAGGCTCAACCTTCTCTTCCCAAACAGTGCCATAGTTTTTCATTCCCTTATTCTCTTTTATTCCCATCCTACTACTGATGGCTGAAAATCACAATTTTGATGTTCACTATTATCACCGTAACAAAGATCCTAAGTTAGAATTCACAGTTCCACTTCATTGGCTATCCAAAAAAGGAAAGAAAAGAAAAGAAATATTGTATATTGGTTTGCCCATCTATATAATACGGGAGAAAGATTTTTGAATTTATTCTAGAGACAATTGTCCTACTTGGACATTTTAACGGTCATGATTCAATTGTGTATTTAGATAGACGGATGAGATGAGCCCCTTTAAATATATATCAATTTACTTCCCGCCCAAACACTAAGGCCTTGTTTGGTTTGTATTTGAGAAATATGTTTTGAGATAAAAAGTACGAAAATTTGTTTGGTTTGGTTTTTTTTCAAAAGATGTTTTGAAAAATTATTTTGAGAGAGAGTTTTGGAAAAAGTGATTGATTTGATGTGTATGAGAGAGAGATTTGTTTGGAAAATTTGTAAACCAAACAAGTTTTGGAAATTTTTTTTGGAAAAATTTGTTTGGTTTGATTACTTTTAAAAACTTATTTGTAGAGAATTTTTTCCAAAATTTTTTGAGAAACACAAACCAAACAAGGCCTAAACTTCCTACTCACACACGTCTCATCTCCATTCTATCTTTAAGATCACTCTGTTATTCAATCTTATCTCCTCCCTTCTTGGTTCTCACCCAAACACTAAACTTCCTGCTTATCCACGTCTCTTCTCTAATTTATCTTTATCTCTCCCCCTTCTCTATTCTCATCATAAAAGAGACCTGTTGAGTTTCTATTTTATCTTTATCTCTCTCTCTCTCTCTTCTTTGTTCTCATCATAAAAAGACTTGTTGAGTTCCCTCTCTCCCTATTTCAGATTTCGGCTTGAAAGGCTGGCGAAGAAAGCAGAAAATAGAGTTTCTGCGAAGCATTAGGGTTAATTTCCAGGTGAGATTCTAATTGCTCTCTCTCTCTCTCTCTCTCTCTCTCTCTCTCTCTCTCTCTACTGTGCTTCAGAAGTTTTGAATCAAAATTTTGCAGTAGCTTGATTCGATAAAATTTTACAGATTCAGTTCTACTTGAAATTTCAGATTTCGGCTTGAAAGGCTTGCGAAGAAAGCGTAAGATAAAGGATTCAAAACCATCTTCTTCTTCTTCTTCTATTTTTTAATTATTTTTTCTTCTTTTCCTCAGTTTAGTTAGTGTCTCTAATGTTACGATGAATTAATTAATTTTTTTTTGTTTTTTTTTGTTTTGTAGTTTTTGTGTTTCATGATATCAATGCACTTAGCTGTATGAAGGGTTGTTTGTAATCTAGGCTACGGATTAGTCAAAGCTTTGTATTGATCGCTCATTTTCTCTATTTAATCATTAATCACCAACAATATGTAAATTATTATTATTATAAATTTGATCTCATGTGAATTCGGTCAAAGGCTGAGATTTTACGCAATTACATGTGATATTACCGTTTTGTGGGGAGATTTTTGGAATCTGTCTATTAAGAATGGGCTAAATTGAACAGTGAGACTGTGTTGTGCATGTTTGAATTAATGCTCCATAGGATTCAGATCAAGTCTTTGACCAGTTCGACTAGAGGGAGCTAACTCTACCATTAGATAAATCTCTGTCCTATCTACATGAATGTATATGTATTTTGCCGTATTGATTATGCCAGTTAGAAGAGAGTTTAATAATACACGCATATATGGTTAGCTTTTTTTAAAACTTTTTTCTTAACAGACGAAACGTATGCATATGGTTTGCTATGTGAAATCTGAAGTTGAGGATGAGCAGAATCTATGCCTCTTTCATCCTCCATTGTACACCTACTTAGTTTCATTTTGGGCATTAAGCATTGCCGAACAATCTGGAGTTCTGGACCCACCAAAATATTGTTATCTTCTTAAATAATTTTAATTTTAATTTTAATTAATAAATAAGAGATTGTTTGAATTGTTTATTATTCTCAAATGATTTCTTAATCTTTCATTCTCTATCAAAAAATTGTAATTTATTGTAAGGCCATTAGATTTATTATTTTGATTTTTTTACTTCTATATTTATTTATTTTTTAATTTTTGTAATTATGTAAGCTATATTAACCTGTATTTTTTCAATATGCATCAATTAGAAGTTTAATGACTTGAAAATAAAAATTGAAAATTGAAAATAATATATGATTGAGAAAAGATGAAATAATAATTTTTTTTACATATGAATAAATAAGTAATGTAAATTGTGGGAAAAAAATAAATCCATTTATTTCAACTTTAAAAAAAATTAAATAATAAATACATTACTTCAAATAATAAATTTTACGTTGTTTATGTAGTGTAGAATAAGTCTTATATTAAATTATTAGAATGTTATATAGTAATATTAATTTTAGAGAAATTGTTTATTTTTTACTATTGTATCAATAAAACTTAATTTTACGTTGTTTACAATTCATTGCTGCTTCTCTGTTAAATTTGTGATTTTAATTTGTTTAGTTAAGCAATATTGGTAATTGGTAAGTTGTGGTGAGTTTCATTTATTTAGGATTTATTTATTTACACTGTAACTTCAGGCACGGGTATACGCTAGTCATTTTATATTACTAGAGTATATGGTAAGATTTTGGGAATTGTTATATATTATTTGTTTATTTTTTATCAGGGTACTTGACAAAATATTATTTATCTTTATTGATTATTTTAAACAAGGACTCCTTCCAAGATTTTCTTTGCTTTCGTTATTCCTTATGTAAATTACACTTTTCACGCGTACAGTGGACCCAAATTTCACTTTATTTTTTGTTATTTCAATTTAAATAACTTAATCTTTACACTTTAAATCTAATTTTAATTTGGTCATTTCGTTCATAAAAAAGGAGAAGCAAATATCAATCTATATAGCTTTAGCAATCAGAGCTAAAAGATTAAAGGTGCTTATAAAATTTAAAAAAAAAAAGGAGGGTTTTTTACCTAATTAAAAGAAAATTAGACCTATTAAAGTGATAAGGTAGGAGTAAAACCCAAGCAACCAGCCCCAAAAAATAAACAAATAAATTGCCGCTGAAAAGCTTTAGAATTTGAGCGTTTCGAGTGTACGATGGAACCAATTAAAGATTGAAAAAACAGAGTATAAATTGCAAGGATTGAAGTGTCTAACTGGAACTTGCGGGAGCTTATTTTCTTAGGAAATGAGCTTTAGCTATCAATAAGGATGATTGATTGCAGAAGATCTTTCTTTTCACTGTGTTCTATTTCTTTCTTTTGCATCTGTAATTGCTCTAAGCGAAAGTCTCTTGCCGGAAAAGAAGGTATTGAACGGCATGAGTTTCTGGGCACGTGATTCTCTATCCTTAAAATTTATATATTATTTTTTTTGTACTGCGAGTCTTATGATTGAAAGTGATTGAGAACAAAGCAATGATAGACAAAGTCATGGTATCAAATTTAAGAAATTTTTGTTTCATGGTTCATATAATTATAGAATCAAGGGCAAATTACAAACACCCCTTCGAGATTTGGTGAAAATACAGATTCCTCCTGAGATTTGAGAAATTACAAATTGCCCTCTGAAGGTCAAATTTGCATAACAAATTAGGGAGGAATCTGTATGAAATTTGTTATGGAAATATAAACCTCAGGGGCGGGATATAATTTCTCAAACTTCAGGGAGAATCTGTATTTTCACCAAACCTCAAGGGAGGTGTTTGTAATTTGCCCTAGAATCAAATGAGGACAGAGGCTTTTTTATTGTTCTATTTTTATTGAGAGTAGTGCATTTGTTTATTTTCTCAGCCTTTTTGCTTTATTTGTAGTCTGGATTTGAGCTATTGTCTTGACATTTGTGGTAGGGTTTTAATTTATTATTCGCTATCTTGTTTGGCATCGTTTTGTTTTAGTAATTTCATAAAACAAAAACACTCAAAAACTCCATAATTTTCATTTTCACATGAAAATCGATGAGAAATCAAAAACAATTTAAAATTGGGCGTTTTCTGATAGCTTGTCAAATTTTTTCATATCAGATTTCTTCTTTTTTGTTTTTCAAAACAGTTTTCAAAAATGAAAAAATTGTCAGTTTTTAGCCCAAATAGGCCCACTATCGGTAGGGAGGGTTCATGAAACAACACATTTAGCCCAACTAATCATCAGTTTTGAGACTATCACAGATTGTCTAATAAATTGTTTCATTCTTTAACGTTGTAGGAAAATTGTACCTATGCAGTAACAATAGAAACATGTACAAAGGGTGCTGAGACCTCAAACCATGTCAGCCTAAGATTTGGCGACACAATTTCAAATGACATTTTGTTAAAACATCTCAATTCCAAGCACGTGAGATGGTTAGATCCATTGGAGCCACAAGTCCTCGATGACGTGCCGAGAAAACCATTTCAAGCTTGCATGGTAAACCAATTCCAGATCACAGGCCAGTGTGTGGAATCACCCATTTGCTACTAATACCTCAAATTGACCGGTACGAAGACTGGTGGCCCGATTTTGCTCAAGTCCGGGTGCTCGAGGGCAATTCCCACTTGAGCTCAAATTATTTCTATTTTTGCCGGTATTGGCCTAGGCATGGGTGGCATGGCTCGGACTTTTGTGATAGGGAGGTGACGCCCTTTGGGATCATGTTTTAACAAAATAACCATTATGTTTTTTTTCTCTAGAACAGTTGTTGGCATTAGAATATTGGCCGGCCATATTTTTTGGGGGATTTGGTGATAGCCCCCTCATTATCTAATTTGTCTTTCAAAAGGACAAGAATTATATAAGTACTTTCAAAACCTCCTGATATTTTAAAACTTGTTTCTTTTACTATATTACTCTCATATCTATCAGCTCTTCTATTAAGCCATCTTCACTATATATTTCAGAGTAAAATTTTACTTTGATACAGAGTAAAATTTTACTTTACTTTTAGAGTGTAAAATTTTACTTTCATACAGAGTAAAATTTTAATTTCATACAGAGTAAAATTTTTACTTTAGTTTCAGAGTGTAAAATTTTACTTTCATACAGAGTAAAATTTTACTTTAGTTTGAAAAATTTTACTTTCATACAGAGTAAAATTTTACTCTGGTTCTGTCAAATGAAAAAAACAGAGCAAAATGAAATTAGATCAAAAACAACAAAAATAAATCAAAAAAAAAAAAAAACAAACAAACAAAAACAAAATAAATTAATCAACAAATCAACATATCTAATTGAGAAGAAACACTTCTAAAACTCCATCAACAATCACAAATCTCAATGAAAATAATACATGTGTTCAACAACACTCATACATACAAATATATATATATACATATATTCTACTGTTCCTCATCCACATCCTTCCCAACCTCCTGTTCAACTTCTTTCAATCTTGAAGCTTCAGCCTTCGCATTCAATATCGCAAGCATCTCATCAACAACCTTATCATGTTTCTTCTCCGCTTCCAATTGAGCCATCTCCACGAAGCCATTGATTGAGGATGAACTTTTGCTATTTTGATCTTCTTATTGTTTCTATGGAGGCATTTGCTACCAGATCTGGTCACTCCGACCAGATCTCCTTTGAAACCCTAGCCATGGAGTCATCATCTATGTATATGCAATAGTTGTATCAGACGAAGCTTGAGAGATTGAGATTGTGATTAGGGAAGATTTAATTGAGGGTATAATAGTCTGATAAAATATTTAAATAATAAATTTTGTCCTTTATATAAGACTTTATAATTATGAGGGGGTTTTAAAAGTATAATTTTTTTCTTAATCTTTTTAACAATAAAAGGAAGATAAGGGGGGTTTATAGCCAAATTTCTCATATTTTTTTTGATAAATATTACAATATTGGCCTTATTGTGCTTGTCAACAGGCCAAAATGCTAAGCATGAGCCCATATATCTAGATATAAATTAGTGGTGGCTGTAAACGTAGCATTTGTAACTGTATATTTAAATTTTTTGATAATTTGATGATTGAGGAAAATTTATTAGTAGCTTTGGATGGCTTGATGAAGGAGAAATCGTGATAGTGGGCATTCTTGAAAAAATAAAAATCGTGATAGTATTCACACTAACTCGTTTTATATAATAGAATAAATATATATTTTTTATTTTTAGAGTTGAACCCAGAGATTAAGAATAGTAAGTGCAGGGTTGAACTGGAACTGTCAACTTACCAGTAATTGGATGGTTGAGGGTTTGGACATTATCATCCTTATTACTCAGATTTGTACTTTTTGGATTCACAGCATCTTATGCTTCTCACCTTCCCACCCTGTGATACTTGATCACAATTACAATTCATCCCATCCTCCACAACTGCTAAAATTAAATAAATAAAGTCTCTCTCTACATGCACAGATTTCAGTCTTATTAGCTAACACATACACCTTGACCAATGCTGTGGCTGTCTCCACATCATTATGTTAAGATACTCATATCAAAATTATT